GGCCGAGGCTGTGCCCAGCAGATGGCTCTTTCCAACCACACAACGCTCGTGCGAGCCCTCGCTTCGCTCCCTGGCTCCCAAGGTCAGCATTTTCAAATCTTTTGTTCCTCTTATGAATAATGCCAGTGGCATACTGGAAGATCAGGAAAACGTAATACGATGCAGAAAGCATTGCTTTCCAGAGTGTAATAGCTTTAGCTGGGATGTAACGCGCTTCATTTTAATGACTACTTGTCACAGTACTACACACATAAACAGAGTTATATTTATTGGGCTAGAATCACATCTCAGTTCTGCTTGAGTAACTCTGAAATAGCTCAGCTGTAGCCAATGGGGATACTACAGATGGGAACGACTGGGGAATTTGGCCCATTGTTAAAATATCTTCATGTAGAAACAATGTAGGAAAATTGAACTGTGACCAGGTTCCTTCATTGCAGGCTAAACTGACTCGAAATTGAACCTTCTTAAGTCAGTGAAGTTACACGGGTGCGAAGGAGAGAGCACACAGAAGCCAGCCTTGTTTGAACTACCTGATCCAGAAGGAACCATTCTGCAGCTCATTAATAAATGCAAGTTTATTTGCAGTGAACATTATTTATATATATGTATATCTCAAAATTAGAGATGGGCTTAGACCTCTAACAGACCCACTTCAAAGCTCCTTGACTTATTGGAAAGTTCAGACTGAATCAGACTTTTGTGATTCAATCATCATCTCTTTAACAGGCTTAAACTGGAATTACAAACCTGAATTAACCAAAATATAGAGGAACACTTAGTTCTATAACATGTCCTAAAAGCAAACGCATTTCATAATCTTTCTGAATCTCAGAAGTTCAGATCCTGTTACAGAACTGTACTTGATAACTGACTCAGTTATCCAATTTTAGAAAAGCTGTATTTATTGGTGCAAAATCCTCAAAATGCAGAGATTTTTTACTTGAATTGGAAAAACTTTCCAAAATGCACAAGTTTATTCTGACTCATTGAACTTGACAAGATTCTATAATGGTCCTTCTTTAAATTTGCTGCCATTTCTGCTGATAGTTCAGGTCAGCATTTGGAAGGATGAGCAAAACATGAAAGAAAAGGTATCCTAAAAATGTGTTTAAAAAAAATTCTTAAGGCATATATGTTGGGGCAATGGGAAGGAATACCATTCCCTGATTGTTTCCCTCTACTCTGTTAATTTTGGGCTTATTCCTCTCTGACATCCAACCTAATCACAGTTGAGGTACTCCTCACCTTCTAGCTCTACTAAATCTTTCCTTCTTCCAAAAGTTACACCATTTCCTTACTTTCCCAGGATATACCAGCTGGCACTAAGAGAGAAATACAAAAGCACAGAGTACCACTGCAGCTGAGTTGATATGTTCTACATTCAGCTGGCTATTGAAAACCGAACTCTTCTTTTTTTTTCTTATATTAACCATTTCACACTTTCCTTTGAAATGTAGGAGGCTTATGAATTGCACAAGCTTCGCTGTAAGCGTGAGTTACTTTTTGCTTTTACCTCTTCCGGTATGAATTCGTCACCTGCATCAATAAACCTCCGGAGCTATTTTTGGTATGCTCCGCTGGGCTTGGTGTCTCCTGGGGGTTCCTCTGAACCTCACTGTACTGCCTTCCATGGGCTCCATGGCAGGTCCAGGCAGAATGTACTTAAGAGTGCTGCCTGAGAAATATATTGTGTTCTGGGAACTGTGATCCAGCATAACTCATCTAATATTCTGAAACTATTTTTCTTGATTCTGTGTGGTTTATCCAGATATTTAATATTTTCTGATCCACGATCTTGCTAGTAATTGATGCTTGGTAAGGACATAAATGCTGTCACGAGAAGCACTAAGCTGGTGATGGCTTAGCTTGGGTCCTTCTTTGATAAAAAACATAGTTCTGGCACCCTTCCATTTCCAGAAAGCTGAGTAACAAAAGTTGCTGCCCTTCTCAGAAAGCCTGACAAGGAAAGGGATTTGGTGGAGCTGTCAGAAATGGGGAGACTACAGTGAGGATACAGGTTGTTATTTTGGCATGTGAACAAGCAGCCTGATGTTAAAAAGGAAAAAAAAAAAAAGAAAAAAAAAAGAAAAAAAAAAGCCATTTCTGCTGCATGGTTGAAACTTTGGTCCTAATCATTTAGTTGGTGCAAAGCACATGCCAGGGTTTCAGGCAAGAGAATTGCTCTGATCATTTCCTACCTGCTTTGCAGAGCAGCAATTAGCAGCACAGTGGCATTAACAAGAGAGCTCAAGAAAGCTTTACACGAGCTTTCAAAGTAAAAACATAAAGAATCCCTAAAAGACCAAGTACTTGTAAAATGTGAGAAGGAAGCTCTAGGCCTGATTTTTCGGAGGTGGGTGCAAGGCTTTGCCCGCAGGCAGCGTGACATTCAGAGCCATCCGCCACCCTCTGCAATCCCCACACCTCCCTGCCTCCCCCAAGGAGGGGAAACCTCCCGTCTTCGCACTCGACCTTTGTGTTGCCTTTCTTGCACGGGGATGGATGCTGCACGTCTCTGAGTGCCCTCTCATCCACATTTGCCGTAAACAGCCAGAACACCTGTTTACTCTGACTCACCCACTCCTCACGCAGACTCTCCCTTTTTTTGACAGCAGACCTCACTCAGGTAGTATGTGCTGCTAATATCCTTTCAGGACCATGTAATAACATGCCTTCCATCCAATTCCTAACATCCTTCAATCAGCTCAGCCAGTGGGCTAACTGCTTACGCTCCTGTGATTTATATAAGTGCAATTAATTTAAACTGCATCACTCCGGTGTTATGCTGGTGAAAATGCCCCGCGAGGGAGTGCCTCACTGGTGAATCAGACCCTTTACTTTTAACAAACATACAAAAGAACAGATCCCGAGCCAGTGAAAATCTGCATGGCTCCATTCATTTCAACACACAAACTTAAACCAGCTCAAGGTCTGAATCACAGCTCATGTAACAGACTATTTAGATACAGACTAATGCCTCACATCCTGAAATGCAATGCTTTCCCAGAGTTGGCAGGGGATGGGGACTTCTCAGATGGAACAGAGCTGAGAGGGGAGCAGGACCACTAATGCAACCTTTTAAAAATGCTTGGTGGATTTCTTCATTGCTGTGGAGTTGAGGAAAGCAACAGCTTGTGTCTCTGCAAGCGCCGCTCTCCCTTCTGTGAAGAGCTGCATCTGTTCCTCCACCCCAGCTGTGAAGCAGGTACCTGGGAAGTCCCTTCCCTTGCCACTTTCCCTTTCCTCCCATAGCCTGGGTGTGTTCCCTGCAGCTTGGAAATCCATGTGACACCTTTCACTGACAGACACCGGTTAGATGCAGAACAGCTAAATTTTTTTAATCAGTTCTTGAAAATGGCTAACTTTCCCTGCACTTGTTTTGGCATCCCTGAGATTAAGGTCACGCAACTTGACAAAGCACTTTACTCTTACGTGTCTTAACAGAAACAGAGGGATTTTTTTTTTTTTCCCCTCATGTCTATTCCAACACCTGCTGCAAAAAAGGGCTGGGGTGGTCTCTGTAAAACACCCCTCTGCGCCGCCTCCCGACAGGACAGAGCCCTAGCGGCACACCGGCATGGCATACCTGTATGTGCCCAGGCAGGTGTAGTTAATACACTAGGAGGGGGGAAGAGGTGGGGAGGGCAGAGCAAGAGTCAATCAGAGTGTAATTTCTGTTAGCAATTTACCAGCATTCAGCTGTCCATATTTTCAAAATGCAAATATTTTAAAATTAAAAAACCTATCTGTGACTAAACATCTCCAAATAAATCTAGATAACCAGAAAATTCTGTGGCACATTTAAGAGACTTTCATCCTAAATGAAATACATAATACAGATTATACCTTCATAGGAAATCACGAGGTCCTACATATACTAATGGAGAAAGACGTTTAAGAGGCATTTAAATTACCCAGTCTATAATTTGGGGG